TAGGAGAAACTGAAGGATTACGAAGGTCCATCACTTTATCTGAAAAAATATGTCCCAGCAATTGCAGTACGAATTGTAGTTTGAAGCTCTGTTTTACTTTCCAAAAAACACGACTGGATATCATTTGCTTGCACAGCATAAAAGCGTCATTAAGGAGCCGTTTAATGATCACAAACTAAAATAAGTAGTAATATAGAAACAGTGGCGGTATGTAAATAACTCATCAAGACCAGTCCTAGAATTGCTAGCGATAGGAATAGCACTGTTAACTGAATCTTCTTAGTTTCTGTTCTGTTTAAAAGATATGAATGAATCTTTGGTGAAAATACTCCTATTACTATCTGGTGCAAAAAAGGACCGGTTCAAAGTTGTGTCCTATGAAAGAAAACGAAATTCGAATTTTTTCAAACTAGCAAAATTTTATTTGTAGAGCAAATTTTTGCATTACCAAATATGGCCTCTTGTATTTTGTTAGTTTCACCTTGATTTGTAGAAAAAAAAGTGCAAACAGACTTCAAGGGATCATATGAATATGATGAAGCCCACAATATCAAAACGGAACCATTACTTTGAATCCTTCCGACGACTCGGTTGTCAGATATGTTGGCTTCTCCTTGCCGTAACTCTGGACAGTTTTTTTTAACAGGTTCTGAGACTATTCGACTGGTAAAGTGCGTGAAAAATAAGTGAAAACAATGTCACATCGAAGTGGTTCGCGTGAAAGTTTAGGATAAATGAATCAACCGACATTATTATACACAAACACACCATCATCACACAGTTAGTGTCCTAGAAGACAAGATATTTGCATGGCAACTCTGTCAAGATCACTACTGTAGTCACCCAACGACACCGACGACAACTTAATAAAACATTCATAAACCGTAGGTTAGCAAACAATTCGTAGTAAACGTCTTGCTGTGTGACAATGATGCCTTGTTGTACTGTTTGCTTTGGCCGAAATGAAAATTTGTCATTTCCATGCCGTTTTCGAAAATTTAATTTAAATTCTTTCTTTCTGGAAATACTGGATGGTTTTCTCCATGGATTTATTATTGCTTCTGTGTATTTTCCACCATATTCTGAGAATAAACCATAAACACCACAAAGTTTTATCTCAGACACCATTTGTTTTACTTGACACCGTCCGTTCCCTTTCCGGTCTACATGCCCAAAGGATCTTGGGTTTGGCATGTTTTATTACTTCGCATTACATTTCACCGATCATCTCAAGTAATATTCTATTTCAGATATTATTATATCTTGTCACTGTCAAAAAGTCCGTAAGTGTAGGCGAAGTTTAGCAATTGTCAAGCATTGACAAACCTACCACTGCTATAACCATGACAACCAGAACGCCATAAGTTCTCATTGTCAAATCTAAGAATTGTTCAAGTAGTGCTTTGTGGATATTTCATTGCTGTAAGGAAGAAAGTGATTGGATAAATTGAGGATTATGTTAGATATCTGGTCACTCGCTCGACAGCAACGTTTAGAGGAATGCCGAAAACGAGTTGCACAACAACAACAGCAGGATACGATCACTCCTTATAACAGTCTTATAATCGGTATTTTCCTTTTTATTGATCAGAATTAGATAGCATTTCAAAATGATAGCTATTAATTTAACTAATGACCAATTTAGTTCGCTAAAAACTCGACTGATTAAAGTGAAAACATTACTCTTCCTTGGATACTGTAACGAGATTCAGTGATATTGGGAGATCAACGATCTTCTTGATAACTGTTAATTGATAATTGTCGTGTGATAATTTTACCTGAACGACATCGCCGCTTCCAGAAATATTTTTTTGTAGGGAGCGATTTGCAAGCGAGCGATACTCGTCTAATTATTTGTGGAAGCAAAAATTGTGTAAGGTTTCTCTTACGTGTTAATAGTATTTGCTTGATTGGAAAAGAAGAAATAATTGTATCAAAAAATCTTTTCAAAATTAAAATATGAAACAAAAATTGTTGAAATAGATGGAGATGAAGTTATTTGTTCAGTAATTGAGGAAGAGAATTCACTTGTAAATAAGGAAAGATTTGACAATTACATCTGTTTCCTTCCAATTCTTTAATTATTTTTAGATTAATTGATAAGAATTAAGAGAGAAGTTTCATATAATCAGGATATGAAAAAGGCTGTAGAATGTATGCTTCTTTTTTTGATGACAAGTATTAGTTCTGCATGAAGAAAAGGATGTTTGATTTTCTAGGGAAAGACATCGATGATTCTACGATTCTTGAATCGAAATGAGGATGCAAGATCAACCATTGCATTGGAGTACATGTATGGACGACGGAATCGTGGTAAGGTAGGTAAGTTTCTTGTAGCAAAATGCACGTATTAGAGTAATATCACTTCTGGTATTTTAATCCATCTATTTTCGGAAATCTGATATTCGAGAGATCATTGAGTTGCTAATTAGTGAAATGAGCAAATTTGAATATTACAAATAAAATAATAATGTTATTTGGAACAAGCTCTTCTTTCTAACAATAATTGTACTGGTAATAATTTTGAAAAGTTACAGGTGAAAGATGTTGGACACATATGGGAACTTGGTGGCGGAACAAATCTTAGCAATCTTCTACAAATACCGCTTTCCAGCAATTACATACAGTAAGCGGTAGAATTCTCGAATCTTCTTCTTTTATTATAAGAGTATTTTTATTATTAATTGTATGAATAATTAATTCCAAAGCGTTTTTTTTCTTAATTCTGAAATATCAATTTCCGTTATCTCTCGACTTGCAGTGTTTGCTACTTTTACTATTTTGTAGTCAATATTGCAGGTCTGAATGCCACCATAATGATTTGCATAACTTTGGGAATTTCTCAGTGATATTTCTATCGCCGTATCGATGTTAATTGAATTTTGCCTTTAGGCAGTGCTCTTTAATGATTGTCATCGACTTAACAGCACCTTTCGATATGTGGAATACATTTTACACCTTATTAGACAATGCTCGTATAATTGTTGATAATGCGATGAAACAATACCTCAAGAGATCACCCGATAGTTATGAAGCATTTATGATTTATAGGAATGCAGTCTTTAAGGAGCATAAAGTATGTTGTTTGAATTCCTTTTCAAAAACTTTTTCCTTCTTTGAAATTGAAAAAGGATATATTGCAAGGAAAGATTGAGAAGAATACTATTCTTAGGAATGATTACAGCAAACTATTATATCCTACCATACTTCTCATGAGCAAATAGATATATGCCAATTTCAAGCATCAGTGCGCTAGAAAAGTAATTGCACAATTGTAGATATAAGTTTAAAGGTATAACATTTAGGTTAATTGGTTGATATGAGATTCAAGGAATAAATTGGGTTTGGTTTTCTTTGTCTTTCAAAGAGCAAATGAAGATCAATCAATTTGTTATATTAGAATAATTTCAGGATGCGGAATATCTTGATCCCTTTCCGATACCACTAATTCTACTTGGTGCGAAATACGATAAATTTCAGGTTATTATCGTTTCCTAATTATCAGATGTTCTCATCTGGATTATGGGGGAATATATCTTCTGATATATCAAAAAATTAATGAGTTGCTTACAGGATTTCGAGCCTGAACAACGAAAAAATATATGCAAATTCCTTCGTTTCATGGCTCATATGAACGGCGCTACTCTTGCGGTATACAGTTACATTTGCATCATTCCACAAATAAGTCTAGTTCTTCTTTTATTACCTATTGTTATTAAAAATAAAACTTTATGTAAAGATTGCATTTTATTAATTACGCTTTAGTTTATAAATTAACTGAAAGCTTTATTATTTTTGCAACTTAGGACAATATTTTTTAATGGCTTACGGTGTATAATACAGATGTTCAGCAACAAAATGGAGAATTTGATGACTAAAATTCGAGTTCTTATCAGTAGTGTTATTTTCGGTACTACAGCTCTAAAAACGATTTGCACTGATCATAACAAACCATTATCAGTACCTTGTGGTGCCGACTCGTTAATGGTTCACTTGCATCTTTTGCTTTTTTGAACTTGAAAAAGTAAAAAGTTCCTTTTTCTTTCTTTTCTGAAGATGACTTCAAAGCCAATATTGAAATATGAGGCTTAAAAAGGAATTGAGTCAGTGAAAAGCATATTCAGGATATTGGAGCTCCTCCTTTCATCAATTCATCGCTATCACTTATTGGGGCAGCGAATTCACGTGATATATGGCATGAAGCATATCTGGAATTTTTCCCAACCAAAGTAAATAGATCCCTGTTTCTTTTTTTTCTTTTTGACATTTTAATTGAACTCTTCGAATTGTTTTAGCAGTAAGAATCATTGCAAGATTATTCTTGTATAATCAGATTCTTTAAGGAAAAGTACGACGAACGAGAAGATAATCCAGCCGAGGATGGACAGCACAGAGAACCGGAAATTGATGATCTAATTGAACAACGCACTGGGGTATGAAACTTTTGTTGCTGTTGTTGTGTATAGCTTTCGATTAATAATTAAAATTTAGGAACTCGAACAGTATATACGACATAAAAAGGATCGAGCTGCATTAGAAGAAGGCAGAATAGAACGAGTTTTGCAGCAGAAAGAAGTTCTTGGAAATTTGTAGACGTAATTGTTCATGTCAATCAGTAGTGGATGAATGTGAAAGTGATACTAGAAATGTATCCCAAAAAGGGGAAATTGATAATTTCAGCAACTAATTTGCAGCTTTTTTGATATATGCTAGCATTTTTGCAATCTTTTGATCTGCGCGCAGAAAGGCATATTTCTTTGCAAAAATGAAAATCTTTTAACGAGAACAAATAGTAATGTACGAGAAATGGTACCGAAAGGAAACACCGCGAAAGAATGAATAGAGTTAAAGAACGCAAACATATACAATCAACGGGATTTTTTTTTTTTGGTACTGTCTCTTCGAAAAGAAAATCACGCTTATTGCTATATGTTTTCACTTATCTTTCACTCACTTTGTCAGTCGAATTATCCCGGAACATGATGACATTATCGGGAGTTTTAACAAGGCGAAAATGATAACGGAATACCTATTTATTAGCTATTTATCAGTGGGTATTGACATTTGTGGACCTCATTCATTATATTCATATGACCTCTTGAAACCTGATTAAATTCTTTCTAACAAATCAAAATGAAACTAACAAAATACAATAGGCCATACTTGATAATGCAAAAATTTGCTCTACAAATAAAATTCTGCTAGTTTGAAAAAATTCGAATTTCGTTTTCTTTCATAGGACACAACTTTGAACCGGTCCTTTTTTGCACCAGATAGTAATAGGAGTATTTTCACCAAAGATTCATTCATATCTTTTAAACAGAACAGAAACTAAGAAGATTCAGTTAACAGTGCTATTCCTATCGCTAGCAATTCTAGGACTGGTCTTGATGAGCTATTTACATACCGCCACTGTTTCTATATTACTACTTATTTTAGTTTGTGATCATTAAACGGCTCCTTAATGACGCTTTTATGCTGTGCAAGCAAATGATATCCAGTCGTGTTTTTTTGGAAAGTAAAACAGAGCTTCAAACTACAATTCGTACTGCAATTGCTGGGACATATTTTTTTCAGATAAAGTGATGGACCTTCG